GGATTTTCGTCTTTACTTCTATTGAAAGTAAGCCTCCAAAACCCGTTGGATTCGTTTTTTGAATATGTATTTAGTGTTAATATTTAGTGTGGTGTTTTTATTGACATTGTCATGCGCATTTAATACATTTTTCCTTTGAAAAGCGCACTATATATAAACAAATTATTATTTTTTTTATGTAGCATTATAAACGTATGACCTAAGCGGAGAATGTTTTATCGATGATTTGGTATTTCATGTCGTATTAATAACGGGAATAGTTGTTTTCGTCTGACAAATTGACTATTATTAAGATTTCAATGTAGCAGCACGGATTGTTCCTCGCTGATTTGTAATGGTGGACGCCCGAGTTGCATTTCAGTGGCATGTTTGTTTTACATGTTATCATTTTTAATTTAATTCAAGTTGTAATCACAATTAATTTTAATTTGGTTTAGCTTTTAAATTATATCCTGGTCAGACCTAATCTCTGTGTAATTCGTTATTGTCTTCATCATTTAACCTCCATATTGTCGGTAAATTCATTTGTAACTTAATTTATTCTACATTGACAATCTTTTAGGACACTTATATCGTATGCAAACGTTCTTACCTGAACACGTGTAGCCGTCTGGATTTAATCTATATCCCAAAGGACACGCACACAAGAATGATCCTGCTGTATTTACGCAATCATGTTCGCACCCATGGTTGTCTGTCTGACATTCGTTAACATCTATTGAATAGAAGAAATACAAAAATGTGCATGCAATACAGTTATGAACAAGAATAAAACCGATCAGAGTTTGTATATCGAATTTTAGTAAAATGCTTGATTTTACTGGAGTGATTCGAGGGTGCACAATGGGCTGTTTTTCTCATTACTAAGCTTCAGTCAATACTTCGATTCCTGTTACGTAATATCCTCACATTGGAATGTGAGTTTATTCAACAAAATTTGCTTTAGAATTTGTAAATACGTAAATGTACTTACCGGAACAAGTATGGCCATCGTAGTTCAATACATATCCTGGTCGGCATAAACAATAATAGGAGCCGATCGTATTCACACAGATTTGGTCACACCCACCATTTTCATAGACGCATTCATTTATGTCTGTGTGCAATAAATATCAATAAATGTTATTGAAACTTGTGTTATATAAGTTGATTCAACACACTCGTGTTAATACATTTAAATACGTCGTGTTAAAGTTGCATTCACGGTAAAAACTAAAATGTGAAAAATGATTTTTTTCTGAAACAAATATTAAATAATAAAATTAGATATCCTGTCAGACTTTTCCACTCATTTCATGTTGAGTGAGTTGGAGGTTCCTGTCACCTTGATACTATATTGCATTGTACTTTATTTCAAGAACACACAAAACCCCATGTCTCAGTATCTATGGTATTACAAATCTAAGTTAAAATCACATTCTTTAGTTAATTTCTCCTTGATTGTACCTCACAGCTTTACGAAGAGCTAATGTAGCCTTAATAGCACGTGACACAATGTAAATTATACATTGTATGCAGATAACGACAAATTTACATAAAATCATTTTGACACTATTTATTTACCAAATTAAGTAATGCATTATGTATACTATGTTTAACTAAAAAGAAGTCATGCTCGTCCATTAATTACTGTCATTCAAATGGTTGATGAGATTACCATGTAACACGGACACATTATAAATGTTTTTCATCATGAACAAATACAATGCACTCACCGATGCAAGTATAACCGTCTTGGGCCAATATATAACCAGTTCCACAACCACATGTGTATGAGCCGTGGTTATTGTGACATTCGTCTTCACAACCACCATTATCATCGAAGCATTCATCTATGTCTACAAAATGAATAATTTTATTTTCTATTAGTAATAGAAGTACATTAACCAATACATTTAATGTAAAGACGACAACAATATTAGACACAATAAATAGAACAGCCAACAAAAAGATAACTGAGTTTATGAGGATCACAGGTGCATTTCCACACAAATTAACATTGTCAAAATAATTAGTTTCATTACTCACATACCAAGGGACGTTCACCTGTTGAAATATGATGCTAAATTTATAACACGCAGTATATTATAAACATACATATTACATATCAATTATATGCTATTAAAAGAATGCAATATTATATATTACGAACAATCAACCTGCAATAAAGTTGATCAAACAAAATGTGTTAATTGCATAATAACAAGAGACAAATAGTTTACACTGTTTGACTGCACATCTTTACATATCATGCATACCATACAAATACCCGATGAGTAAATTGCCTCGGAAACAAGTTCATCTAATTCTGATATTCTAATTTCGATCATAATCAGCTGCAATATATATAATAGAAGTACATGATATGGTAACAAAACTCGAATTACATAGTACTTTTCTTTCAAATGTTGTTTTCACAACTTTCAGAATTGTATATACAAATTACATATTTTGATACAACATATCCTTAGTCATAATATTCCAAACTGTAATACAAATATGTCATTATGTATATCCGATATTTGTCATAAGCATGTTAATGGTGAATGACTATTTATTAAAAGCAGATATATACATACTAATGTTAAATAAATAGTTTATCATTATATGTATTTATATATTATACTAATCGCGCTATTTAGTAAAACAGTACGTAAATTATGTTATATCTGCCCAGATACATGATTGCGTGCAGTTCTGGGCCTGATTGAGCCGTTTTTAAGGGTACAGGCTTTGTTGGTTTTGTCCCATGTCCAATTGGTACATTGCTGCGTTTGTCTACAGTTTTCACAACACTTTTCTGGACTTTCTTTTGGATTAGTTTTTCCATGTTTGATGATATTTCTGGATGAAGTTGGATATGACAAACCATCCTGCATCTGACATCCCATATCTGCCAATAAAACACGTTGATTGATTCACAGGTGAGGTTTGCTAAATGAGTTTATATACATTTATACATAAAATTGTTTAGTTATCGTAACCGTAGTCTTTCAAACATAATGCTCAGATTTCACGGTAAAGATGAAAGCATGAAGTAATTCTAAACACAAAATCATATTTATTATGTATTAGAACCTTTACAACTACAATCACGTCCGGCCACGTCACATACTATTTAAAAACAATTGTCGGCATGTTAAATAAAACAAGTATAATGACATCCCGGTATCAAGCTAACGATCTAGACAAAGATAAATGATATATTTCACATACCTCTACAACTTTTAGCATCGGCCTTTAGTTCAAATCCCAAATTACAGGAACATGTTACAGATCCATTGCTATCATCGCATATGTGTTCACAGTCTCCATTATGGTTATCACATCCAATGAAATTTTCATCTGGAAGTATAAACCTTTTAATTTGTTTAATGCCTTTAGATATGATTAGGAGTAAGATATCTCAAACTGATATCCACATTATATTCAATATACATGGAGTACAAACAAACAAACAAACAAAAAACAAACAAAAAAACAAACAAACAAACGATAAATATATATCAAATCAGTGGAGTAACCGAAACACTTGATATGAAACATATTTTATTACGTAGAATAACGTCAAAGTAACACTGCCACAATTTATGAAATCATCATGCGTCTTTACACAACGAGAAACAAATAGATCACCTACCACATGATTCACCATCTTTATTCAAAGTATAACCATCGTTGCAAGAACATGCATAGGATCCTTCAAGATTGTGGCATATCTGGTCACATTTACCGTTACTGTCTTCACACTCATTGATGTCTAATGGGTAAGCATATAAACAATTCTCATGAGCGACGATTGAATAGTATCCCTATGTATAATTTATACTATTTGTTTAATGAGCTATTGATAATTTATTGTATACGAATCATCACTCACCCGAACAAGTAAGCGTATCAATGTTAAGTATGTACCCATCATTACACGTACATAGAAATGAACCACTTGTGTTTTCACATTCATATTCACAATTACCATTATTATTTTCACATTCATTAACATCTGAAAATGAAAGTAAACTGTGTTGAATGTCAGTGACTACTTGACAGCATGTTCAACAGAAATACACCAATTAGCGTGTACATCCACCGAATGTGCACAGTTGACATATGCTATTTTTACCATATAATTTGTCAAATGTTCGAGACATGTATTAATGAACAAATATAATAATCAATTTACCGGAACACGATAATCCATCACTTCCTAAGGCATAACCAACGTCACAAGAACACACAAAAGATCCGTCCGTATTTCCACAGTTATGGTCACAACCACCATTATTGTCAACACACTCGTTCTTATCTGCAGAATTGGTAAGTTGGTTAGAATTGTTAGTTGACAAAAAAGGTAACAAGACACTCCTGGAATGCTAGAATTAGCATAATTAACAAACTCATTAATAGGTTTTTTATAATATATGAATAATATGAATATTATAGTTAACTATATAATAATATACAGCAACACATATGTAATTTTATTTACTAGCTCTTAGTCTTGTTAGTATACTTTCATGTCTGAAACAAAAACAACTAGAGCAGCAGCAAAAAACATAATACACATTAGTATTAGCGCGCACTAACCTGAGCATAATTTCCCGTTTGCTTCCAGTATAAAACCTGCATAACAAGTACAAGTATACGACCCGACTGTATTCGTACAAACGTGCTGACACCCGCCACTACCTTTGGCACATTCGTCAACATCTGAAACAACGTAATTTTTGGAGGTTAGTCTATGGCACACATGCTATGGCAGACTATTCGAGCATGACCATACTATTTAAAATATATTGAATAAATTATACAACCCTACCAAACCCACTGCTGGTTTATTATGGGAGCATTGAATCACTGAGTAATATTATACATTTACGGAAACTATTAAAGTTGATAGTGAGCCATTTGTACTGTACCCATAGACAGATAGGCTCATTTATATAGACGGTTGTATGGTTTGGGTACACTACCTACCATTGCATGAAATGCCATCATTTTCGGAAGTATATCCAGCTCTACACTGACATGTAAATGAACCAATAGTATTGTGACAATCTTGATCACATCTCCCGTTGTTAACGTAACATTCGTCGATATCTGTAATACAAAAGTCAGTAGTATTACATCAGCATAATTTGATATTTATTAATTTAAAAAGACATTACAAAAAAAATCACGATGTGCATTGATATGCCATTTGTCATCTTTGTTTATTTTGACGTCTCTACGAAAAACAACAATATCACCTATCTTGGTATCAACCACGTGACGTGTTATTGGGTAAAGCAATATTGCAATCATCACAAATATCATAAATTGTAAATATAAAATAAATATTTATCGATCACAATATAACTTACGTATTTACAAAGGTATTCTGAAAAGCGCATTTAACAAACAAACAAATAGACAGAAATTTATAAATTACAAAAAATAAATCTTGTCAAATAAGCACTTGAAGCGACAAATATGTAGATACACATATACTATTAATAGTTTAGTTACTAGCTTTTTTACTGGAGAAAACTAGTCATCTCGACATATTTAGCAGGTGCAGGGCATATAAGAATTGGTGCTTACTGTTATGACTAAACATCAATTAAACAGCTGTCATTTTAAAGATAATACGAGACAAATATTTGTGAAAGTATGTTATTCAAAAAAATCAACAATGAAGGAAAATTTACTTCCTTTTCAGGATGAGTACTTACCTGAACAAGCATGTCCATCTTGTTTAAGACCGTAACCAATAAGACAATTGCACGTGTATGACCCATCCGTATTCGTGCAGATATGCTCGCATGCTCCATTGTTTTCACCACATTCATTCGCATCTTTAAGAAAAAGACATTTTCACATGACTCATAAATTAGATTCAATATTTAATTATACTTTATAGATATCTTACTAGTTTAGTGTTCTTACAAAGCATCCAAACAATGGGCAGATTTTTTTCAGAGCAACTCACATCTTTCTGAACATACACCGAGAGTCATACACCCAGATTGACTTACATAAAATATACCACCATTCAGAAACTGACGAATGGTGAATTCCCTTCTTCGAAAACAGAAACGGGCCTTCTGAGCTCATCTAATTGATACCAATGAAGTTAAAAACAAGTGAATTCCTATTGGATCTCCATGATCAAAACTATGAATTTATATTTGACTGAAAAAACTTGTATTCAGAATTTATGTGCATTTGGAATATTGGCGTAACTGTAAAAACAGCAAATAAGGTAAAATTAATATAGAGACAGTGTAGTATGAATCAAAACAGCACTTTACTTACCATCACACATCACAGTGTAGTATGAATCAAAACAGCACTTTACTTACCATCACACGTTTGTTCATTGTTGTTTAGTATGTACCCAAGCCTACAATCACACTCAAATGATCCTTCATTATTGACACACACCTGTTCACATCCTCCATTGTTGATTTGGCACTCATCATTATCTGTAAGCAACATTTATATGCAAATTAGAGTTTCATCACGATATTACGATCGACAGTTTTAATAGTAGTGGAAACAAGAATCAAATACGAAGTGTGCTTACCATAACATGTCTCAGCATGCGTGTTCAATGTATAACCATCTCGACAGGAACAACTGAACGACCCTGCTCTATTTATACAAACTTGTTGACATCCACCATTGTTTTCTAAACACTCATTTATATCTTTAATAACAATAGATATGGGTATATTATTATGCGGGTGCTTAAGCATATAAATATGGTGGACATTCAGTACAAATAATGTACTTAAGCACATGGTATGTAGTAAATTCATTCTAAAGCGTTGAAGCATATTGCATGATGCAAATTTCTGCAAATTATGTATTCATTAAAATTTATGATACGAATTTTATTTGCTTAATCACACATTCATAACGACATACAACGGTATCTGAACATATAATGTGCATATGAATAATACTAGTATTAAAACTATCACTTACCAAAACAACTTATCCCGTCCGTGTGTAGACTATATCCATTGTAACAAGAACACACAAAAGACCCAGACGTATTATCACACATGTGCTCACAGCCTCCATTGAATCCGTTACATTCATTAACATCTAAGAGGCACAAGAAAGAACAATTAGTTTATACTTAAAACAGTAATCCCTACTTATAACTAGGTTATACATGATGTACAACTCACCAAGACACGTCTGTCCCTCATTACTTAATGCATAGCCCGTTGCACAGGAACAAGTGAATGACCCTTCAGTATTTGTACAGATTTGTTGGCATCCTCCATTGCTTAAACTGCACTCATCTACATCTGAATAAAAAAGAGAAGTATGTAAAAGTGAATCAATATATAAGAATGTATTTGTTTGAACGTCTAAAAGATACTTATATTTACCAGAGCAAGCTCTTTCATCCGGGTCCAACACGTAACCTTGCTCACACGTACAGTGATACGACCCATGAGTATTGACACATGTTTGTTCGCATCCACCTTTGTCGTCTTGACACTCGTCAATATCTTTAAAATAAACAATACAGTCGTTGGAGATATTATATATCTTCACCGAAGAATCATAGCAAAAACAAAATGCGATTTAATAATAATAATAATAATAATAATAATAATAATAATAATAATAATAATGAATACCCTACCTGTGTGAGGTATTCCAGACACGTGACCAGGTGCTGGTTTGGGATGTAGGTTTCCCCTTTTAAGATAGCATGCGTGATTGTGTTCGATCCAGGTCCAAATGGCACATCCGGGTATTGCAGTACAATGAGAACAACACTCTTCCGGAGAGCCGAGAATACCGTTCATAATAACGTAAGTCGATTCATGGGCAGGGTAGTTGACATCCTGTTGCATAACACATCCTAAATCTGGGTTTTTAAAATAACAATATATTAGTATGTAATATTGTAATTATTAGATCTATTGAACTATAAAATAAATGAAAAGACAAAATAATACCGGTACGTAGTACACTCACCAGAACATGTTTTATCATCCACGTTCAATACGAAACCACGGCGACATGAGCATGTGAATGCGCCTTCCGTATTTTCACAAGTATGATCACAACCACCATTAATTGCCAAGCATTCGTTAATATCTAATGTAAGGTAGGTTGAAATAAATATTAACAACATACATACAAACACAATGCCAGCATCGTTTTCGAGCTTAGATCACAAACAAATATATAGGTGCTAACCATTGCAAGATACCCCGTCGCTATTCAGAGTATACCCATCTCTGCAACGGCAATCAAATGAGCCGCCATTATTTCGACATTCGTGTTCGCATCCACCATTATTTGCATTACATTCGTTGATATCTGCAGTAAGAAAGTATAATTATCTCAGTATTGAGCATGCATAACATTGACAATCGAATATGTTATGAAGTCTGATCAAATTGTAATTGGTTATGTATAATAAATTCTTACCAGAGCATGTCATCTCATCAGCATTTAATATAAAACCGATACGACAAGAACACGTATACGATCCGTCTGTATTCGTACATACTTGTTGACAACCGCCGTTATTTTCACTGCA